CCCTTCCTCCCATGGCTAAGGTGGAGGCCTCCTCTTCCAAGCTTCCAGACACACATGCCTCTTAGACACTTCCCCTCTCAGGTCAGGTTGGCTCTGCCCAGCTTCCTGGGAGCTTAGGATGCCGGTTTCCTGTGCAGGCAGGGTTGCATTTCCATTTGCATTTTGTTGTGGATGGAGCCCCTCGGAACTGAACCTAGAAGTGTACAAAACAGGCCTTTGGCCAGCAGAGCAGCTGGTGGCTGCTGGTACACACTTCCACTGCCCATACCTCCTCCTGGTCCACACTCCACACCTCGGAGTCTGTATCCTGATGTGACTCCCTCGAAGAGGCGCTTGGTCTGGTTGGGGGCGGAGGGCAGCCGAGGTCCCCTTTTCTCCTTTTCCGCCGCAGCACAACCAGCTTCCTCTTCTGACACGTGTTCACACAAGCGTGACCCCCGCACCACACATGGAGTCTGGCCTTTAACAGAGAGGAATAATTTGATTTCTCGGGAAGGCAGTGAAATTAAAGTAGACTTTAGCAATAGAGAACAGGGTATCAACTAAATATCTGCTGAAGAATTCTCTCTGGGCTTCCATGTTCCAAAAGACTCACAATAAAATTAACTCCAAAGTTACTGAACTGAGAAATGTACAATTACTGTCTTGTTGGTGCAATAAAACAGAAAGGACTGTTAAGGCATTTAATTGGCACCCAACAACAGGCCGATGGTGTGTTAATTACACATCAATTATGGCAGAGTGCTAATTGACATTTGATAAACAGGCTGAGATAACCCATGTTTGCTCTGTCAAATTAAATAGCTCGGTGAACTGTATTTTGTGGCTATGAGGAAACTTTTGGAAAGACCTGTGATCGACCATCAGACTCCAGGAGCCAGGGGACTTTTTGAACCATTCTTCCACTCTTTGAGAAATACTTGCAAGTGTCTAGTGTATGGGGCTGGAGTGATAGCACAGTAGGTAGGGCATTTGCCTTGCATGCGGCCGACCCGGGTTTGATTCCTAGCATCCCATATGGTTCCCTCGAGCACCACCAGGAGTAATTCCTGAGTGCATGAATAACTGAATAACCTCAGTGCAATGCCAGGTGTGATGTAAAAAGAAAAAAGAGTCTGTTGTGTGCTTTTTGTTGCTTATTTGGGGCTTGTACCTGGAGATGCTCAGGCACCCGTTCAGGGATCTCCTGACGAGGTTCTGGGGATTCTATGGGGTGCTAGGGATTGAACCTGCATTGGTTTTCTGCACGGCAAGGCCTTAGCCACTGCAACAAAATGCCTTTTCCCTCCAGGGCTGCTTCTGGGATAAGGGCTGGTGGTTTTATGTGATTTTCCTGCCTTGTGTGGACAATCTTCCAGTTTCTGACTTTCCTTTTTCTACCTTTCTCAGCCTTAAATTTAAGCCTAATTTCTATTAATTCTATGGTCAGGTCAGTCCTACTTCATTGCTAAGCTTTGTTCCACAATTTCTAAGTTGTGGGCCCTGAGCCATCCACCCTGAGCCCTGCCTGCTTCCATGTTCAGGCCACCAGGAGGAAAGGGCTGGGCACAATTCTCAGCTCCTAGCAGGAATGCGGTACCTGTCTCTTCCTTTCCTTCTCTGTCCTTTCCCTTCCTTTTATTTATTTATTTTTGGGTCACACCTGACGATGCACGGGAGTTACTCCTGGCTCATGCACTCAGGAGTTACTCCTGGAGATGCTTGGGGAACCATATGGGATGCTGGGAATCGAACCCAGGTCAGCTGCGTGCAAGGTAAACCACCCTACCCACTGTGCTATCGCTCCAGCCCCTGGGCCGTGCTTCTGTCTCATGCTGCTGCACTGTGGTGGCATTGGTAGCTTCATATCAGTTTGCCATCTGCGTGGAGACTAAGCTTTCACTGCCACCAGAGAAATCGGGGCCTGGGATTGGGGTTTAAAGGGTGAGTCTATATAGACCAAACATGATTGCCACTCAATTTCTCTTTTGCAAACCACAGCAGCCAAAAGGAGAGAGAGAACAAAAGGGAATGCCCTGCCACAGTGGCAGGGTGGGATGTGGGGATGGGGGGTGGGAGGGATACTGGGACCCGTGGTGGTGGAAAATGGGCACTGGTGGAGGGATGGGTACTCGATCATTGTACAACTGAAACCCAAGCACAAAAATTTATAAGTCTACAACTGTACCTCATGGTGTTTCACTAATAAAAATTTAAAAAAAAACAGAGGCTCAAAAGTAAAAAAAATAAAATAAAATAAAGGGTTAGTCCATCACTCATTAGCTCTGTGACTTTGTGCCATTATTTCATTTCCCTGATCTTTAGTTCTTTGCCTTTGTGTTGCAGGGTTAGAAAGAGCACTTACCTTTTCAAATCGACGGAAGAATTTAAGATGATACTGGTGCTGCTCAGTATATGTTGGCTATTGTAATCATCCGACATCTGTGGCGAAACCACTGCATCTGATTCTGAACCAGACAATTTGTTCTTTTTTCAGCCAGCAATTCTTGAATACATATAGGCTTCCATAATACCTTGCTCCTCGGTGGCAATGTGCCAAATGGCCTCATTCCATCCTCTTTACCTCCACTCTCTTGAGAACTGCAGGATCAGTTCAAATAGACTTGGCTGCTGTAATGTGGCAATTGCCTATCAGTGTACACACGCACACACACACACACACACACACACACACAAAATGATTGAAAGTTAGTGAGCTCTTGTTCTCTTAGAGCAAAAGAAATATCAGACTCTTTGCAACCAGCTGACTTTTTATTCTTTTTATTTAAAAGCATCACACGGAATCTTAGGTTGCCTGAGTATCAATATCAGTTCAGTCACACTTATTGAATGGATATTTTTTGACAAAAGGCCAACTCACTGGAATTTAATTTGCCAAAAATAAATGTGCTGAATCATTAAATCATGGAACGACTGATTCACTGAAAATTGACAAACCCTCAACCATGTTTAAGATGAGCGGCTTCAGACAGTTTTGCTGTCAGAGCAAAAAAGCACAGGTAAGGAAGCCAGAGGCAAAGGCAAGCGAAGGTCAGTGTCCTTAAAAATAAAGAAGATAAGGAACTTGGATTTAAGAGTAAATCCAGCTGCTGAGAGATGCCACCCATTTCACAAGCGTTCTGCCCCGGAACAGTGAAACATAAAAACATTTCACGTTCAGATGACTTGAGCAGGTTGCTGTGTGCTGTGGTTAAATGGCTGTAAGAAAAGCTATGTTGAAACTTTAAAATTAATTCTCAAAATTGAGTGACTCGGTTATTTGAAATTCAACTTTGACAAAATAATTTTCAGTGGCTTAGTCTATATATATTTTTTCTCCCAAAATAACCTTAGCTCACATGTTAGGCTAAAACTGAAATACGACAGTTCAAGGGGGGGTGGCCATTGGTCAACCATAGAAAACATACTCTGAAGGGGGCATTTGGTCTGGTATCTCTGGCTCTGCTAGGGCTGAGTCAAGAAACCTGGGGGTGGGGTTGCAGGATCCAACAGATTGTACTTCTTGCTGGGGAAGAGATTGATGAAGAAACCAGTAGTGGTTTTCTGTACCTGAGAGTATGCTTGGAAGGTTGCCAGACACTTCAGGCAGCGATCTTGACTTAAAGCATCAGTCAGGGCTCTGTGTCAGGATCCTTTGGGTCCCTAGGCCATTGATTGGGAGCAGAATTGATGTAGCAGAGGCCTGAGGACATCTATGGCACACCAAGCTGAGATACAGGCTCTGGACTTCCAAATGTAGATCCATTTATGGGGCAAAGATATCAGTTGTGTGTCCTCTCTTTTCTTCATACTATATTTTGTTAGTTGGAATTAGTCTTGTAATTCTAGGTTACCCAGGAGAGTAAAGGGAATATGTCTAAATGAAATGAAGAATAAGTGTAACTCAAACATGAATACAGTAGCCTATGGGTATTGGTTCATTCCTTTTAGATTTTTTTCCTCCTTGCCCCAAGGGGAAATAGGTTTGGGTAACACCAAACATTTCCCCTTGGTAATTAGGATTAGGTTACCCTGTCTGTATAGTTAGTTGCCTTTTATTAGTTGCACATTAAATGGCAGAAAGAGCTCAAATATTTCCTGTGGGAGACTCAACTTTCAGTATCTCTGGTGGAATCATTTCTGCTCTGGTAATTTCTACCTTAAACCCTGTAGAGCTCTTCACTGTGAAGACTGAAAACATGATTTTGTACTCAGCAACTGGGTATCTACAGAGAGACTTTGTAGACACACTTAGCCAAACATGAAATGGAACTAACTTCACCAATTGCTTGTCTTCCATTAGCCTGGTGTCTAATTGTTGAACTGAATTGGCATTTGCATCCTCAGGATCAATGTCAATTTAGAGTCAGTGTCTGGTGATCCCAGACATGTCTGGACAGTGTCCTTCTTTGTATACCAACAGCCCACAACCTATGGAGAGGAGTGGGAGAGGTCGGTCAGTGCCCTCTCTGGCAGTGCCAGGTGTCCTCCATCGCAGAATCTGGGGCCCCTTTCAGTTGAGGGGCCGCACGTCTATGAAGTAGCTTTGGAAATTGGGTGAGAGGCCAGGACTCTCTCTGGTATATCAGCAGCTCTAGTCTTTTGTGTTTCTGTTTGTTTCGGCATATCAGATGAAATGTTGGCAGTTTGGCAATGGTGCAGAGACCAAGATTTTGGGGCTACTGAGAAATATACCTGTGGCTCAAACCATTTTATAGTGCTCAACATGGGCAGATGATTTCATGGAACTTGCTTCTGTGATGGAGTGTATCTAGTTGATGTTTTACCTCCTGAATATGCTGATGACTCTCAAAACAAAGGCACTGGAGTCTTCACCCGCAACTTCATTTGGGAATGTGTTAGAAATAAGCATTCTCCAGTTTTTCCTGAACCCATCTGCTGAATCAGAAACTTTGGAGTGGATCCCAGTAATATGTATTTGGACAAGCTTTCCAGGGGATTCAAATGCACATGAAATCTAGCAATCATAACCAGGCCCTTCCCTTTAAAACCACGGAGCAATGCTTAACTGACAGGGGAGACACCCTGATCACGAAGTTGGTTTTCCTAGGCCAAGGCTTATCCGTAGCACTCTGAATGTACTGACCTCTGTGATTTCCCCAAATGTGGGAAACTTGAATGCATTTAATTTGTGGTAGTGGGGGATGCGTTCACACTCTCCTCTGACCTTTCTGTTTAATAAAAGTAAAAGAAACAAACAAAAAAACCAAAACCAAACAAACAAAACATGGAGCCATCTTTGTGCTGATCTGTGCTAGTGTCATCCCTGTCCAGAACCTGATAGATGCTTACAGAGTATTGATGAGAGTCCTGGTGTTCATAATCAATATATTCGTCAAAGCTTTATTAGATGGAGTTCTTCTAAGTCTCCTGTGAGATATTTAAGGGGTGCATGAACAGGTGACTGGTGCTTTATTCACCAAAACATTTCCAGCTTCCTAATCTTTGAATTAGAACTGGGAATTTTCCCAACAAAATGATCAACAAGGAAATTTTATCAGGTGTGTTTGACTTAATAGAGGGGAATTACTGAATTCAGGTTGTAGGTAACAAACAAAGCCATTCTCCGAAGCCCTATCTAGTTCACTGAATCCGAAACTGCAATATTTCATCCTCCCTGATCTTAGCCCATTTTGGTTTCTTTCCATCAATAATCTACAGGTATTTGATGATATAATTAGCAAAATGTTGTGATATAGATCTGACTCCCTGTGTGTTTGCGTGTGCATGCAGGCGTGCGTGTGTGTGTGTGTGTGTGTGTGTGTGTGTGTGTGTGTGTGGTGTTTACAGTTGTACTCTGGGGTTATTCTGGGAGCTGATCATACTGAGTGGTCTTCAGCAAGAAGAAATGGGGATAGGGTAAGGGGAGTTTTAGTAAAGGAACATTAGACTCCTTTTGAACTCAGGATCAAAAAATTTTAAGCAAGGCAGAACTATGTACCCATCAATGAGGGGAAAGGGAGACGTTTGGCAAGGATGACTAGGAAGGGTTTTGGAATTCCAGTTATTGAAATTTATCCCAGTCTCCTCAAATAACCTAATTCTCAGGGTCTATCAGGTTCTGATTGAATTTCCTATGTTGAGACCTGGGGAGGGTGCGAATTCAATTAACACTTTGATTCTGGTTCTTGAAGCTACTTATGCTTTGAACTAGGAATTTTCAGAAAACTGCTACTTGTAACAATTACTCATTTTAAATCAATGAAAAGTAAATTGATTGCAGGGTTAGGGGGAGCAAAGTCATAAACACATATAAAAACACATCATGTGATCAAAGCATGCAATACAACATTTATGCTGATAGTGGGATAATTTAAAAAATAATTACTTCTGAACCAGAGAGGTAGCCCAATGAGCTAAGTGTATGCATTGCTTTCAGGAAGGCTGGATTTGACCCCTGCACCACACAATTTTCCAAGCCCTGCCAGGTGTGACCCCTGAGCACAAAACCAGAAGCAGCCTCCATCTATTCCCCATGCGCCATCGGTGTATACCAAAAACCAAAACTGAAAATCAAAAATTTTGTTTTTGGGGAGAGGGGGCAGTTAGGATAGAGAAGGGACCACTATGAAAATGATAGCTGGAAATGATCACAAGAATTGAGTGCTAAAGTCGGTAAAAGGATATACATGATAAAATAACAGTACCTGTATTACAAACCATAATGCTCAAAATGAAAGAGAGAGAGAGAGAGAGAGACAGAAAGAGAGAGAAAGAGAGAGAGAGAGCTGTTCAGCCATAGAGGCAGACTGAGGTTGGGGGATGGAAGAAGGGAAACTGGGGACATTGGTAGTGGGAAATGTACAGTGGTAAAAGGATGGGTGTTGGAACATTGTAAGACCAAAACCCAATTGTAACTGTGTATCTCTTGGTTAATTAGTTAATTAATTTTTATGAAAGAACCTTAATTTTCCAAGGTACTTATATTTGTGTTTAGGCATACAATAATTCAACACCAATCCCTCCGCTAGTGTCAACTTCCCTCCGCCAGTGTTCCCAGATTCCCTCCCCAACCCGACCTCCACTCCACCACCTCCTGTCAACTTGACAGGCACATTATAAAGTTTCAGTGGTTGCAGCTTAGATCTCATGTTTCAGTTCTGTTGAATCTGTGTTTTGGGTATGTGGCCATACCCCTCACTCATCACCACCACCACCATCATCCTGTTGTTTGTCGATTGCCTCGAGCACGCACCAGTAACGTCTCCTTCTTCCTAGGCCTGAGATTTTAAAAGAGCCATATTCAATGCTCTTTCAGGGCTAGGAGAATGAGACCTATCATTGTTACTGGTATTTGGCATATTGAGTACGACACGGGAAGTTTGCCAGACTCTGCCGTGCGAGCAGGATACTTTTGGTAGCCTGCCGGGTTTTCCAAAGTAAAAATGAGATAATAAGATGTCGCGTTTCCGGGAGCTGGGTTACCCCTCACTCATATCACTAGTATAACTAAAGCTCAGATGCCTGTTAGCCCATTACTGTTTGTTCTTTACTTCTCCCCTTGATTTCTTTCCTTTAGTCTCCAATGAAGATGTTACTGGGCCCGCTCGAGCAAATCGATGAACAACGGGAGGACTGTGACCGTGATCTGCCTCCTCTCTAAATACTGGGATCAAGGATGGTCTAAGCATCCTCCTTTTACTACTGGATCCTTATCCAGTAGTTTGTATTCCACAGATAACTGACACCATCCTGTTTTGTCCTCCTTCTTCTGACTTACCTCACTCAACATGATGTCTTCCAGTTCCGATCTAATTGCAGCAAACTGCACTATTTTATCATTCTTTGTAGTCACATAATATTCCATCATGTATATATACCCACATTTTCATAATCCATTCATCTGTTGTTGGACACCAAGGTTGATTCCATATCTTAGCTATTGTACTGAGTGCAGAAATGAATAATGGTATGCATATGTCCTTTTGAGAGAGAGTCTCACAGTGATTTAATAAAAGAAAAACCTTTACTTCCATACTTTGGTAAGTGTATTAGGCAGAATTAGGCTCTTGAAAGAGACCCACAGTCTAACCCTGAAGCCTACAAATAGGTTGTTTTATGTACCAGAAGGGGATTTGCAGATGTGATCAATGGACTGTGAAGTGAGGTGGAGGTGGAAATTCTCCAGATGTGTTCAATCCATTGTAACTTCATTTTATTTTAATTAATTAAGATTTTTGGGGAGAGATCATACCCCACACTACTCAGGGACTATTTCTATCTTTGTGACCCCTGGCAGTACTCAGGCCCATACATGGTTACCAGGATTGGAACGAGGGCCAGGGGTGCTGCAGCTTTAGACTAGGTCCCTTGCTTCCTGAACTCTCTCTCTGTTATGTCTTTAAAGCAAACAGCTTTTTCTGGCAGCTGTGGAGCAGAAAGATGGATATGCAAGGACTTGACTTGCTATTTTTGGCTTTGAAGATTGGAGTAGGGGTGGGGAGGGGGGTGTCACAAGCTAAGAACGTCCAGAAAAGACATGATATGAACAACACCTGGATTTTAGCCCAATGAGATTTTGTTTCACATCCAACCTCTACAGCACAAAAATAATTAGTTTGTGTTGTTTAAGCTACTGAGTTTGTGGTAATTTGTTATGGCAGTGATACAGTAATTGATACAATAGAAAAAAAAAGACAAACTACTTGACAGAAAACAGGCAAAGAATAGGAGCAGATAAATCACAGAATTAGCTAATTAACATTTGAAGAGATACTTACTCTCACTAATGAAGCAGGTAAATGCAAATGCATACAATAAGACATTGTTCTTCACTCATCAGATTGGCAAATATGAGAACAATTGATCTCATCCCCCCCCCCAGAGTGAGAAATAAACCCCTTAAAACATTGCTGGTGGGAGTATGGATTTCTATATTGGGGGAAAATATGATACTTAATATAAATTGCGTACAAATCCTTTGAGTAAAATCAGTTTGGGCTATCTTTGTTAGAGAAAACAATAGCCTCCAGACTTGGTTGGTTTTTTTTTTTTTTTTTTTTTTTTTTTTTTGTGGGGGGAGATAGGAAGCCATGTCCAGAAGTGCTCAGGGCTTACAGCTGGCTCTGTGCTCAGAGTTCACTCCTAGTGGTCAGCAGGAGACAGTATGTGGTGTTAGGGATTGAACTCTGGTTGGTCACATGCAAAGCAAGCAAGTAGAATCTCTCTAGCCCTCCACACATTTTTTCCAAATGTAGCAGGGAATGTTTTGTGAACTTACAAGTGGAAAAAGTCTGAAGATCTTTTGGAGGAATGACTAAATAAAATTTGATATATTCGGGGGCTGGAGCGATAGCACAGCGGGTAGGGCGTTTGCCTTGCACGCAGCCAACATGATCGACACAGGTTCGATTCCCAGAACCCTATATGGTCCCCTGAGCACCGCCAGGAGCAATTCCTGAGTGCATGAGCCAGGAGAAACCCCTGAGCATCGCTGGGTGTGACCTCCCAAAACAAGCAAAAAAAAAAAGAAGTCAAAGAAATTTGATATATTCATAATATGAACATTACACATAAATAAAAAATAAATTAAGTCCATACACAGAACTCTAAATGGTGGAACATTGTATATTATTGATTTAAAAAAGAGGTTGCAAAATAATGTCCGTAGTATGACTTTGGCAGGATTAAAAATAACATCAAACATGAAATGATGATTACATGCATCTGCTTATATATATATTTATCTGTGTATAAAATGATATGAAAAGAAACATTGAGAAGAGTTACTATTAATTCTCTAAGGTGTGCCTTCCAGGATGAGTGGGCATTAGGGAAAACAGCGGATTTACTTTTTCTTTGTGTAATTCCATTTAACTTTCTACAAAAAGCACATAAAACTGTCATAAAACTAGAAAACCCTAATACCATATTTAGGAAAGGAAAGACATCTTGTATTATTGAAGTTACACATTTGTCCACCAGCTGAAAGCTCTATGCTTTCAGCTGCTGGCTGTGGCCCTGACCTTTGGCCAAAAGCCCGGTTTTGCCCACAGCCACACTTTGCTTGTCTCCAGGGTGGGATAGCTTTATGCAACTACTCCAGCACTTTGTGGTATTTTGTTCTCTTTGATAAAAATGAGGGGGACGATGGGAAAAATGAAAGTGCAGATGAAAGTGTAGGTTTCACAAATTGAAAATAATCGAATAAAAGAGGAGAATGGTT